GCTTAGATATTTATATATATATATATATATGTATATATATATATATATATATATATATATAATTCTAACCCTAACAAGAAAGTTTTTCTTGTTAGGGTGTGTATCTGGCTAAACCGTCCACATAATGTAACACTCCTTATGAAGAACAAAGTCACTTTCCTGTGAGAATCATAACCTCTGACATAATACCAACAGGCGCACACACACTTGATGGTGTGATTTTAGCCTATGAACCTTCAAGGGGACAGCGAACACACCAATGTCCAACATAAATTATTACAGGATTAAAGACTGAAAAGAAGGTCAAAGGTCAGATGCTTCATTAAAGGACGTGCACAGATTAAAGATACAAAACAAACTTGAAGAATGACTATTCAGTTATGAAACACACCCATGTGTTTCTAGAAGCAAAAACCCTGTGAGGTTTTCTCGAGGTGACGAAAGAAACCCAGTTGAAGAAACTTGAGGAGACGGCAGGGTTAATTCTGGAAGTGCAAACTTTGGTCTTGCTCTACCTTCTTCTCGTCGACCTCACCTGTTCTGCAGAATGACTCCCTGCTGCTTCACCTCCTCTGGTTTCAGTACAGCAGTATCCACCATGGAAGGTGGCGACATCAGGGAGGGGTCCACAGGATGGAAATAAGAAAAGAGAGTTGGGAGAGAGCTACAAGAAGTTAGAGAAGGAGAAAAGGAGGCCAGACAGGAGACGGGAGACTCTGAATGAGCAGAGGAGATATCCTGGCAGTTGTTGGGGTCTTCCTCAGAGAAGGACTCAAAATAAAAAGGTTCAGCTGAGGAAAATTCCTGGATTAGACTGGGATCCATCACAGAAGCGGGAACCAGCAGCAGCTCATCAAAGACCTGTGGACTTTGTGAGAGCTCCTTATCCAGAACCACAAACTGGCTTTCCACTCCGTCTTCTCTGGTCCTTGCTGGACTGTAAGTCTTCTCCGAGTCTGTGAATGATTTGGTAAAAACCTGTGAATCAAATGGTTGGAATGAAGGAAAATCTGCCTTGAAGAAGTTCATCTGGTCCTCGGCTTCAGCAGAAACACTTTTCTCAGAGTCAGATAATTTAGATGCCATGGTTGAATCTCGTAGATCTGAGGCCGGCATCTGAAGGTCACTCGGGTCTCCACAGAGCGTTGAGTTCACCGAGTGTAGCTCTGTGTTTGAATCTGACACCATGAAGAACTCGGATGACTCGCATGTTTGGTACTTCTGTGAGTCCACACTGACGTAAAGGCTTTGAAGAAAACTGCTGGAGCTCTGATTGGAGGCCTGAGGCTGCAACAGTAAACTGTCATTTTCTAGTTCAGGACAGGTATCACCAAAACCCCCAAATAGAACTGCAGAGGACTTGCGGCTCAAGTCTGGTGACTTCACTTTCAAAATAGAACTAGCAAAGTCCTGGGGGGTTTGTCTTGTGTCAGGGGAGGAGGTGAAGATGTTTCCTCCTCCTGGAGACAGGAACATCTCTATGTCTGCATTCACAGGGCTTTTATCAAAAACAGTACAGTTCTCCTCTCTTTGGTCGTCAGTTGACTGTGACCACATGTTTAACTCTGGCTGAAGTTCTGAAATAATTTCTTCAGTTCTAAACTTCACAACTTCCTCAACTGATGGTTCTGGAGACTGAGGTTGTGTGAATGTGAGGAAGTCCTCTGTAGCTGAGCTGCCAAGATCAGAAGATCCTGGATCTGGAGAAGTGCCTTTGAGCTGGCTTGTACCAGAATCGTTCGACTCATCAATGCTAGTGTTACTATAGCCACAAACGTCAGCAGGAGCCTGGGAGATTTTGTCCAGGTTGTGACTCTCAGAGCTAATTAGTTCTGGAACTGTCTCCGATAAGCCTGCAAATGCATCTATGTGGTCAATGTTGGTGAGAGTAATGGTGTCATGACCTTTGTTTGTGTTCTGAACAATGGCTGGCATTGGCTGATCCTCATTAGTGCACTTTTCCACTGACCGCTCACAGGAAGTTCTTTGCTCACGTTTAAATTCATTTTTCTGGTCTTCAGAAACTTGAAGTCTTCCAGTTGCAAATGCTTTAAAGTCTTCATCCCACTCAGGTTCAGCTTCCAGATTCCTAGGAGGCATGAAAGGGTTGAACAAACTCCAGTTCAAAAGTTCCTCTTCTTGTGAAACACCAGGAGGAGGTGCTGGTGTCACAGTTTGGTCCATAAGGTTGCTGGGACTCTCTGGAAAAAGCTGGGCTACAGAGGAGGAAACACTTGACAGAAAAGGGGAATGAGGCTCAGTTGGATTAAGAGACTGAGGTGTTAGCACCTCCTGGTGGAAAGGGTTAGGGTGAAATAAAGAGAAGAAAGGGTTACTGGGAGAAAATGGAGGTGGTGTGGCTTCTGATTGACAGAAAGGGTTAGTGTGAAGCTCTGGCGAAACCAGAGAAGAAAGAGAAACAGGAGAAGTTGGAAGTGATTCAGACTGAGGACTAGAGCTAGAGTGCCGTTGAGGAGAAACTGGTGGGCTGTGGAAGGAACAGAAAAAAGTCCTGATGATTAGTGAGGATTCTTCATATGGCAGAGCTGAAGATCTGTAGACGGCCTTCAACAATAACACAGTTCTACAGATGGACAGAGAGTTTGATGTCAATGGTAAACAACTTGTTGTTTAGTTATGTCACTGCCGTCCATCACTAAATCCAAATCTGTGATATTATGACTAAGTATGTTTAATTTGTTTTTGATAAACAACAAAAAAATTGTTACAATGCATTAATAGATTTATATATACATTCATATACTGATTGTATACATATAAATGTGCTGCTGTTATTGGTCTAAACCTACATCACATGACACATGTACATATGCAGGACCGAACATATTCTAGTTCATATTCTTGAGCAACAACAGTGTCTTTATCACAGACAGTTGTTAGTGTTGGACAGCTACAGCAGCAGCAGCTACAGCAGCAGCCGCAGCAGCTACAGCAGCTACAGCAGCAGCTACAGCAGCAACAGCAGCAGCAGCAGCAGCAGCACCCACAACAGCAGCAGCCGCAGCAGCTACAACCGCAGCAGCAGCAACAGCAGCAGCAGCAGCAACTACAGCTACAGCAGCAGCAGCAGCACCCACAACAGCAGCAGCCGCAGCAGCTACAGCAGCAACAGCAGCAGCAACAGCAGCAGCAGCAGCACCCACAACAGCAGCAGCCGCAGCAGCTACAGCAGCAACAGCAGCTACAACAGCAGCAGCTACAACAGCAGCAGCAGCTACAGCAGTAGCAGCAGCAGCTACAACAGCCACAGCAGCAGCAGCTACAACAACATCCCCATCTGCAATGCAGATCCCACTGTAACCAGAGACAGATGTGTAGAGACCAGGGCACAGAGATGCACATGAGATGGAGGCACTGCCCACAGACTTGTAAGGAAGTGGACATTGTCCACAGATTTGGACACCAGTCCAGAGACTCAGTGTGCAGTCTAATGCCAGCTAGCAGCAGTCGACCGGACCATGCTGACTCACAGGAAGTGTAGTCAACAAATAAATAATAAATAAAAACTGTTCCAAGCACCACATTTCTGTGGATGCATTCAATTATTTAAAGTGTTAAAAAAACTAACCCTTCAAATATTTATGCTATTAAATATTATACAGTGATTATTTAGAGCAGGTACTGTAATTCATGCTGCTCTTAGTTTTATCTGAGGGCAAACTGATTCATGTTGACTTTCTAAACTCCAGTAGGATCATGTGACAAAACATAATGACTTTTTTGAAGACCATCTGCTAATGCATTTAGCCAAAGGTCTAAATATCTGTTTGAACCAAGATGACAGACACACTGTAACATAAAACATACTTTATCTGCTCAGCCACCCATTGTCCCCATTGTCCCCTTTGTCCCCTCTCAGCCTTGACTGGAGGAGATAGCTGCACACACACAGCCTTGACTGGAGGAGATAGCTGCACACTCTGAGTATGAATCTGCATCTGCCTCAGATTTCAATGTTGTTTTTTCCACTTCACCTCGTCACAGTGTTGCTTAGTGTCTGGTTAATTCTTGTTTCCTGGAATAACTGTTCAACACCCAATTCTCTACTTTGCTTCTTAATATAATTGTCAATTTATATTGACTGTGAACATATTTCTACATTCTTTCTATCCAGTGTGTTTTCAGAGCTGGAGCAGGGCGTTTAATTTAAGAATATGAGGATATTTTACTTTTTTTGTTTCATTGTTTTTAGAAAATGCAGCATTACAACGGGTCTTTACCATGTGAGTCTCACCTGACTTTGTTGCGTGAATCCTCCAATCCAAACCACCCTTTGTGTTTCTCCTCGCTGCCAGTAGGGGTGCTGTCAGGTTGGTCCTCGACTTTTCCAGTGGACTTGCCACTGCCACTGGAGAAAAGTTTCTTTTTCTGCTTCCTGCTCTGACTTCCTGATTCAGATTTAGATGAGGTGGCTAACATCTCCTCCTCCTCATCATCATCTTTTCTAACCATTGGTCCACTCTGTTCCAGAGCCGCCGCTATCGCAGCCTTTTCCTCCACACAGGGTTTATCAAAGGACCAACGACGCCCATCTCCTGCAGGTCCTGTGTGGGGGTCTGAGGAGGTCCGAGGACTGAGGTTCTGTAGGGACATGGAAAGAGGCGAAGACTTCTGCAAGAGTCCTGGGCATGAAGAATTTTCAGATTTTCCTGAGCCCCAGTCCAGGACCTGAACTTCGTGAACATGGCTTCCATTAACACACACGGTGGGTCTAGGCACAGCAATGGTGATGTCCCCGGCCTCTTCACCAAAGTCACATTGGAGTGAGGACGACTTGGGTGATGTGTTTGCTGTGTGTTCTAAAAAAAAGAGGGAAAAAGAACTTGTTCGTAAATCAAACCTGAAAAATCTGGGCTGCATTTTCAGGGGAAACAGTGATGACTTTACAGTACAGGTCTGAGAATGACTGTCACAAACATCCACTTAAAAAAATGTTCTCGCCCAAAAGACAATTTCATCTCCATCCTTTTATAAATCAACCTTTAACATTTTGATGATGTGTTTGAACCCAAAACAGAACCCAATCATGGTGGTTAAAACCAGGAATTATCCTGAAGACTGAATCAAATTAAGTGTGAATCTCACCAGGACAGTGATACAGTTCATATAATAATCAGACCTTGGACAGACGTAGGTCTTTCTCACCGGGGCTGTTGTCGGTCGTCAGGTTGCTGCTGTTGCTGGGTGAGTTGGACAAATCAGAGACCACCACACTGATGCCAGCCGTCGGACTCAGGCTCCCGCCCCGAGACGAGGACTCGCTGCTCTCCGACCCCAGTGAGGTACTGGAACGAGTGTCTGAAGATTTTCTCAGCTTCCCTCGCAGAAAGAAGTTCCTCATTTTGCTCCGCCGAACTTCTCCTCCTTCGTCGTCCTCATAATCCTCCTCCCCGCCACCATCGCTTGGAAGCCGGTGCCTCATCCGACAGAGGGATCCGTATCCGCTCTGGAGGGTGACAGAGGAGGAGTCCTCGTCACTGGATCTCCTCTTCCCCCTCATGCGCTCTTTCAGTTTGGTAAACGTGGAGAAGCCCTTGTCTTTCATGACCAGATCATACATGCTAGCTGTCAGGTTGTTCCTGGTGAACTCGACCGTCACCTGGATGTCTCCTCGCTCCTTCTCTTTCTTCCCTGTTTTGGAGTTCAGTCTGTACCAGCTGCAAACAGGGAACAGTAAAGAGACATGTAAAATTAGAAGTATAAAAGGAGAACCCAACATTATACTCATTATACATGAGTTATTTCAAGAAATGCAAATGTTTTGGTGTTTTTTTTTTCAACCCTGACTCAAATGACTAATGGCCCAGAATTGAGTCTTGGTTTGATATAATTTGCAGACTTCTCATCCAAATAACACAGAAGAATTTAAATCATAATCTTTGTCCAAAACTTGACCCCTAGTTAAACCATGAAAGCTGTAACAGAATTCTAAAGAAAACAACACAAATTAATAGTTTTAACTATACTGAGGCACAGGGAGGGAGAGAAGGGAGGGGGAAGAGAAGGAGGAGAAGGAGGAGGAGAGGGAGGAGAAGGAGGTGCAGCTGTGTACTTGGACTGAAATCATCTGAATAAAATCCAGGTCAGCAAGCTTCTCACTGATCCTGCCTCTTTTCAGGTTCATGTTGTTGTTGTTCGGGATGTTTTTTTTTTCTTTTAGGTCTTGTAAGTCCTGTGACTAAAAATAAAATAGCTAAACGTGAAACGGCTGCAGGGCCTGAGAGTTTCACTTCCATTCTCCAACAATAGAGACACAGCAGACAGGGTGGGGCTCACATTCCAAACTCAGGACCAGCAAAAAACAAATCCTTAAGATTAGTACAGTCAAAGTACATTTGACTCAAGTATTTTACTTTGCTACATCTGAAAAGAACCTGTTACTGAGTAAAAGATCAAATGCGGGGGAAAACCGTGTTAACTAATAATTCAAAATAACTAAGTAACTTTTACTCAAAGTCAATTTTAAATTAATATTTTTTTTACTTTTACTTGAGTAGATTTTTAGGTGGGTACTTTAGTGTTACTTGAGTAGAATTTAAGAAGAGTAAAGATACTTTTACTTAATAACATTTTCTTAGTATTTTTTCACCTCTGATAATTTCTAATTAAACTGTTTCTTGACAATGATGTAAAGGTCACACGTGTTTAATGTCCATGTTTGATTCAGAACATGGCAAACAAAATATATTTATGGATGTCATATTATGTAACATACGTGATTTATTATTATGGATGGCACAGAAGGCTTATTCTAATTTTAACCAACCGATTGCCAAGTCACCGGTCAGCATTAACTCGGGTGTTTGTGGAAACATTTAAAGTTCATTAGAATAGTGTAATCCATCCTTCCTGACGATAAATGATGAGGTTAAACTGTTAGCATGTGATGGATTCAGAGATGAATGCTTTGAAAGATGACGAAGAAACCCACAGAGAATTCTACTTGGATCTCAAAGACTGAAAACACCACGTGACCACAGACACCAACAACAGGAAGCAGCAGCAGTCTGGTGTGTCAAACAGTCATTACAGTTATCAAGTGTTGGATCTAATCAACCTTTTAATCAGGAATATTAGACAGTCTTAGACAGTCTGTTTGGTGATAGAGTCAGATAAGAACCTTTTATTTACCTCTGCTCTGCAGTACTCCCAGTACCTCTAAACATGTTTTGGAAATTTCACTTTAAAAGTGTACCCCATACATTTGTTGAGTAGATTTGTGTATTTGTACAGCAGCGGTTCTCAACTTTTTTGTAGCATTTGTAGATAGGAATATTATTACCCCCCCACCCCACACACACACACACACACGTATTAACAAACACACTACTTTGAAACTCCCCACACTATTTAAAACACTGTAATTCCCCCAAAATTTGATTTTTTCCCCCAATATCCAAATGTAATTAATAACTTGGCATATAAATATAAACACAGAGGTTAGATGTAGTGGACAGTGTGTTCACGCCTTGGAGAATGGCACAATAATGAGTGTGCCCAGGTAACAGTGAAGAAAGGTGGAAGTTCCTTAAAGGTTTAGGGCTGCACTCTGTGAATGCAGTCTTGCAGAGATTTGACAGTGTCCTCAATGGTGTGTTACACCAGCACTTAGCTGTCACACAATATTATTTTTAAGTACTTGTCATTGTGACACAGCACACCACTGCCACACCACAGGAGCAGTGTACAGTACCAGTACAGTACCATTGCCGAGCACCTCAGTGGTAACTGGGCAGCTGGTGGACTCTGAAGCCTTCCAGACCCAAGTCTGCTTCCTTAACCACTAAGACACCACTGCCCCAGTACCATCTGAGAGGTGTGTACATGGCCTCAAACCAAAAAAATATGTGGAGTCAACTGAAGACCAGGTGACCAGGTTCAATAAGGGTCCATTTCTAATCAGTACCAGGTCCATCTTAGAAGATTCTCCCAAAAGGGATTGGACTGTGGTTCCTGAAGAGACTGAACTTTTGTTTTGTAAGAATTTCAACATAAAAGTTGAAAGGGTTTGTAATGCTAAGCTTTTTTTCTGTTTTTCTTTTTTTGTTGTGTTTTTGTTTTAGTACCTCTGAGCCTTCAGACAAGGGAGTGTTGGATACTTTGGGGAGTCTTGGCAGGGCAGTAATCCCACCCTGTTCTACGTCATCATCAAACGGAACAGAGAAGCTCCCTGAATAAAGTCTTCTGCTGAGACTGACTTTGTTCTGACAAATCAGATTTTAGTCTGGACAGTTTCTGACACAGAGGGTGTGTCTGCAGCAGCAGTAGCTGCAGCAGCAGACCTAGCATCAGTAGTAATAGCATCAGCAGTGTGTTGACACCTGCGTTTACCCCAACCTCCCCCTGCCCCCACCTTTAAAAACAGAACACTGTAAACACAAAAAAGATGCAAAGGTGGTGCGTTCACAAGCTCTAGGGAAAATAATGACCCACAGTTGTCTCTGTTTTTGGACAACAAAAACACACCACACAAACCCCCCCACACACCCCCCCCCCCAAACCCCCACACACACACACACACACACACACACACATCTGGCCTCACCGGTTCTTCACCCCTCTGCTCTCATGAAACACCTGGTCCAGTTGAATCGTAGTCTGTCCCAGAAACACGTCCATCCCGATCAGCGCCCGGTGCATGACCGTCAGCAGAAGCTGGTTTCCGGGTAGCGGGCCGCTGCTCTGCTGCAGAACTCCGGACTGCAGCTCAAAGCTGCACTCCTCCCTCCACTCGGGTTCGGTTGTCTTGTCCAGAACACAGGTGGAGTACTTCTCCTTGCCCAGCTGGATGACGGCGTACACGTCGCTGGTTCCGTGTTTCCCCTTCCCACGCAGTCCTCGTCCTCTCAGCACCGTCACCTGGACGTGGGTCGGCTCCCATTTTTGCGTGTCCTCCTGGGCAGTTAATAATGACATGTCCCCCGCCAACCCGCAGAGACAGACACAGACCGAGAGTGAGGCGAGACAGTCGGACAGAGGAGGAGCTTATGTCCGCCTCTTTCTCCGCACTCACATTTTCTGTAGCGTCCTGTCCGTCTCTTACCAGGTTTCGCTACGTCCCGGTTCCGTTTCGCGTGTCCTTGTTTCTCTGCGGCTGCAGCAGGGTCTCTATCCCCGCCTTTTCCTCCCGACGCACGGCTTTTCTGCGGGCACGACGTCACGCGTCTGCCGGCCTCCACCGTCTTGCTGTGCCGTCTCCACTTTGACTGTGACCTCCTCTGCTGTCCTACTTCTGTCTCCCTGCCGTCCCCCCTCTCTTTTCTCTCCCTGCAGCTCTTATTTCTCCAACTTCACTGTCAATACTTAAATACAGCTCTTCACCAAGTTTGTTACTTATGATACAATTTACCTAACTGTGACGTCACGTCTAAGGTTGACGTTAGTCCACATCCAATCAACCGTCAATCCAGCCGCTTCTACCGAGCCAAACCACAACGTCTTGAAGTTTCAGACAAAAAATAAAAGATAAAAAAATTAAAAGTGACAGTAAAAGTCTTTGGAAAACCACGAACATCACAGTAGATGACCGTTCAGTCTGAGTAAAGACCTGCTGGACATTACTTTGAAACTGCGAAAGCCTCAAACCAGTCAGAACCAGTTTCATCACTCTGTCTAGACCATGTTAATACAAGACGTTTTTGACACATGAACAGATTTGGATTATTCCCCTGATTTAAAGTTTTCTGTTATTTTTATAGTGTGTATTTTTTTTTAATTATATGTGACCAACCAAGTTCATTTATGACTCGACAGGCAACGGGGCTCAACGTTCTTTGGTGGTGTTTGTTCATGGTATTTTGACAGAAGCACTTGAGATTTTCCACTCAGTTGAAAAGCGACCAAACATGTCTGTGAAGAGTCAAGAACAGAGGCCACAGGTCTGTCCTCTACAGTTATTAGACTTCAGCACAGAGTCAGCTACACTGCCCAAGAGCAGAGTTACTGTAATACTTAGTTTTAACTCCCAAGAGCAGAGTTACTGTAATACTTAAGTTAGTATTAACAGTACTTTTAACAGTATATTCTCCATGTGATATGGTGGAGAACATTGTTTATATGAGAAATAAAGAACTCATTGTATCATAGAAACATTGAATATTAGTACCAAGTGAATTATAATACACACTGCTTTACTTTGCATTCTTAACAAATTTATTAATTTTCATACCAACACATTTTATGCCAAATATTGAGTTAAGTGAAGAAAGTTGGCAGGAAAACAGGTTTTCATTTCAGGAAAATCCTCTCTGCAGCTGCATATTTTCTGCAAGACTTTTAGAGGTGTGTAAATAACAGAGATTAGAGCTCAGCATCATGGAGTTACAGAGACCTGTTGGGCTGAACACACTTCTGTATTCTAGAGAACAATCTGTTTCAGAGAGGAGGTTCCTGTCCGTCACTATGATTTAATTGTCTTCAAATCTAAGTGTTTTCTGTCAGAATTAGCTTTCATTAGAACTTCAGACACCTTTGTCCTTGTATTTTGTGGAATAGTGGTAAAACATTGCACATTGTGAATGCAATATTAAAATAGAATGATGAAATGTATGAAATTAATGTGATTGATGTTTATTATCTTAATTATTAAACTTATATTTTATTTCAAAGTGGATTTTTAAGTTAACGCTTACATTTTTAATGGTAAAGTATCATGATAGTGATAAGTAATGGTTGTGTCAGTTACTTAGTGTAATGGTTAGCATGCCTTCCTCAGAAGCAGAGAGTCCTGGGTTTGATTCGCAGAGGAACCACATGCTTGGCGCTTGCTAGGTGCCGCCTGCTAATACAACAATTTCCCACATATGATATAAAATAAATGTATTTATTTTAAAGATAAGGATGACGCAGATGACAGTGATAAATGTGATCATATTGATTAAATTATACATTTTTGAGAGAATCGTAACATCTGTCAGTGAACGTATACTTCTGCGAACGTACGTATACAACTTTCGAACGTGTCCCTTCAGAATAAATACACAAAGAACCAGAACTTTCCCACATAATAATTAAAACCTACAGCGCCCTCTTTTGGACAGAAATATCGAACATCAGTGACAGAGTTTTCACACAGCTCTAACATTTAAAGGGAGACAGGAAACCAGTTCATTTCAGTTGAGTTCAGTTTTTGAGTTAGTTTTTTCACTTTATCAGACATGAAGACACAAACACATTTTTTTAAAATCCAATTCAAATATCAATGCCAGTGGCCTTAAAAAGTAGAACAATGACTAAAATGATTCATATTTTTGTGCTCGTTCCTTTTGTCACTGCACTATCGTCTGACGACTAAACTTGTCGTTTCAGTTCTAAAGTCATCTCTGAGCGTCAGCGTGCTAAAAACATTAATTTGTGATTACGTTAGCTCAGTGATGTTAAAACACACTGCAAGGTTTTGGAATCTGACAAATGCCACTTTGCATTTAAAACACAAGGAACACACTGTGTTTCAGATCAACAGATGCACTGAACAAACATTTAGACATATTTTCTCACCAACTAATCTGTCTCATTATGGCCTTATCCCCATCATCAGTGAGACGACGGGGAGATTTGGACAGAAAGCCCTGCTGGAGAGCAGCCTGGATCTGAGAGCTGAAGATTCCTCAGATAGTCTTCATCTATTCTGGAGGCACAGCTGTCAATCATCATCCCTGCAGCTGACTCAGATCTAGACTGAGCCAATGCACACACACACACACACACACACACACACACACATACGACTTAATAGAATCGGCCATCATTTGTTTATTCACCTGATGAATGAAACAAATCCTGTTGTTTGATTGGTGATGAGTCATTCCAACATTAAAATTCTCTTCTGTTCAGGCAGCTGTTGGTCAGTGAACGCACCAGCACTGACATTGGTGACACGGGGATTTCACTGGACCTAAATATTTAGTCTGTGCAGATAAAGATCAGGTGTCTGCTGCAAACTGGGATCCAGGACGACTTTCTTCAGTTTTTTCCCCCTCAAGTTCACAAGCTGCAGCTTTTAATTTAACCTATAAAATCTCACTTTCAGATACAATTAGTGAAAAACTGTAACTCACATAACGTGTTCTTGGACTGACTTTGATTGAATTCTCATTAACTGACTGAAATTACAGTGTGAAGAGAGAAAGTTTTGTTCTTTCGTAGGCTCCCTAAACATAGCATGCGTCCCCTGCAGTATTAGATGTTGGTGGATGAACAGCTGCTGCTGGATCAGTGTTGGTTTACAGATCTACAGCTCACTGACTTCTAACCAGGGATTAAAGATCTTTGTCCAAATGAGATTTTAATTATCTGCTAAACTGAAGCTCATGGAATAAGAGGCCAAAACTAATAGAGATGTGAGCAGCTGTCAATCAACCATTTAGCAGCCTGTGACTAATATTAGAGGTGTCATTCAACCAACCAATCAACCAATCAACCAACCAATCAATCAAACAATTAATCAATCAATCAATCCATCATCCCATCTGATTCCCACAATAAAAATATATGAAAAGCAGATTTTAATCAAAATTGAATAAAAAAATAATATACATGTATCATGAATATATGAGTACTATCATTAATTATGATATTATTAATAAATATAAATAACAAGTCATAAGAACATTTACCTCAAAATACTGTAAATGACAATTGAAAAATAAATATTTTGTAAAAAATTATCTGAAATTTTTTGCCACAGTTTTTGCTTCTTCTGTTTAATGATCAAAGTAATTAATTCATAATAATAATTAACTAATAATGAATTACTAATTAATTCATAATAATTATAGTAGTGTGATTTTTTTTGTGTTCTTTTCGTTTGTTTGTCACCATTAGTGACTGTGATTTAAAGTTCGACTGAGGCCGAGTGACTTTTTCTACCCATTGATAAAATACACAGCGTTAAAGTAACTTATGGTGATGTGTGTGACTGAAATACATTTCTCTCCTTTTCCATCCAAACACTTCAACTATAAGACACTTATGTTTCAATTATTCATGAATAAAAAGAATGAAGAAAGCAAATAAACAAACAACCAGAAAACAACTAAACAGATTGAGGCTGAAGGGAAGAGTGTGTTGGAGTGTCACAGATCCTCGGTCTCACAGAGACACCAGCAGAGTAAACACGCAAACTGGAGCAAAGGAACAATAGAAGGAAGGTGTGTGTGTGTGTGTGTGTGTGTGTGCCTGTACATTCATTGTGTTTGCGTCTCTTCTACAAACCCCACTTCCCCCCTCACTAGTGTTCTATGCTGAATATTAAGTGACGGCCTATGATTTGTCCTTGTGTTTGTCCTCTGATACTGATCCTCCCTGGGCCTGACGTCCCCAACCAAGACACTAATCTTCTACCAGCAGGACACACACACACACACACACACACACACACCATTTCCATAGCTCTTTGTTAGTTTGGCCTCTGATGTAAACAGAAACAAAAGTGAATTATTTTATCATGTGTGCAGCTGGACTCACACACACACACACACACACACACCTAATTATTACCTACATTATTCTATATTTTCACAGAAACAATTTTAGCAAAATAACTCACTACGTACCTCTTAGCTATTGTTTTCATCATCGCAGTTAAACGTGTCACTGACGTCTAAGACTCCGCTGTTTTTGACACACTGTTTTTGTATTTTATACGCCTACTGCTTGATTTGGCACAGTGGAACCTGTGTCTGAATTTGTGGGTAACACGTTTGCTGCCCAAATAAAGAAATTGCTCTTATTTAGTGGTACAGTTTTGGCCGACTAAAGTTCTGAAATACAACAGAGTAGGATGAGAACATTAGTCTAGAACACTTCGTCAGTGTGAGGAACTCTCCTACACTTGGTTCTGCCCCAGACTTTCCTTACATGGCTTAGGTTCCAGTCCCAGCCGTGGTACAGTATGTTAAACAAACACCAACTCCCTGTTCAGTTCATCAGATCAGTTCATGTTCAAACCCTTAGGAGGAAAAAACTTTATTAAACCTTTTAATTCTTAGCAAAATCCTATTTTTCCGTCTTTGACTTCAAAGATAAGGTACTGGGGTCATGCATGTGTACATGTGAAGGTTGTGGTGAAACAGGAAAGAACAAAACTCTGCTGCCGGTTTCCTTTAAAGGACGGGGTTTAACACAGCGGAACAAAGAAGGATCAGATCTGGAGTGGAGCGAGCAGGGACGGTTTGATGTCCCCAGGCAACAGAGAAATCATCTGAGCCCCTGTAATTGACTGTTTGGTGTTGCCTGGGCAGAAGCTAATTCCCATGATGATTTGCCTTCAGTGGCTGTGTTATAAAGTCGGGATTTGTTAAGCTGCTCTCGTTGACCCCCCACAGGTCGTGGGGCCAGAAGATCAACGTGACCCTGGATAAAGAGATTGAGTGTGGGTTTGACAAAGAAGTGTTTGGAGAAGGAGGATTTTTGAAAACCAACGAGGAGACTAGGAAATCTGCTGTTGTTCACATTAGGATTAGATAGAAATTCTCAACAAAAAGAGTGATT